AGCAGGAGGGGTTGATTTTACCATTCAAAATTTTTTCCATGCTATTTCCATACGAAGTTTGATTTAATTGCGCACCATCTAAAAGACAATATTAAGAGCTAAAACTTTCAAGGAATTGTTTTTAATCAATTTGGAATCATTGATCTCATCAAGAATTTGATGTCACTCTTATTTGTGGGTTTTGAACCCGGAGCCAGCGATTTCTAAACCATGTTCACCATCTTCAAATTCTGTACCAAAAGTCCATTGCATCATCATGCAGTTTGTAACCAAAACTTGTGTTAAGGTTTTTGCCTTCAGCGATGGAGGTAATTTTGGTATTTTAAAACACAACACAAGTTTCATAGATTTATTATAGAATACAAATATTATTATACAGAAATTCATTAAAGATTATTATAAGGTTAAGTGTTCCTTTTGACGTTCAGAGAGAGAATGAGAGCTTGTGATAGACATAGAGGTCCTCCGTCCAGCCGGAAATATAGAGACCATAGAATGTAGAGTGGAACTAGAGAGATGTAGAGTCCATAGAGTAATAAATGAGCCGTTTAGTGCACACATCGACTAACTCCGAAAGTCAGAAAGTGGAGAAAAGCGATAAAGTAATGTATATTGCTTTTAAAAATTCCTGTTATAATGTAAATTGAAAAATATATTTTAGAACGTATAAACACATATATAGCTTACGTGTGACGGTATATAAGATTTAAAACTATTAATAGTGAGAAAATAATTATCATTATAGTTAAAGTTTTTATATGACTTGTGGAGTTAATCAAGTTTTCAACTTTTTTTTAACTTTAAACTTTTTTTTAAAATTCGGATCTTCATTGTAGTTACACTTAAATTGTATATCGTTGGGTTTGGACCTTTCTATTCTAAATTCAGCGCATTTTAGGCCAATTTTCTGGACACCCTGTGATGGTTACTTTTTTGTTATTGATTTATTGTTCTAAATAAATAAAAAATAGATAAAAAATCTTACAATTAGTGAAGCATTCGGCTTAGCTACAATGGCGCTTTTTTCTTAAATGTCTTTATTATATTGTATCAACTATCTGGTAAAATTATGTCTCGATTTTTTTTCGCACGTGACTCAATAATAACAAAATCTTGAGTTAATAGATTAATAACTGTTTTAACCGACCAGAAATTTATTTTTAATTTAGTTAGCTCTTATTTCCGTACTTTGAACAAGTTTCAATAAACTTCAGGCAGTTTTAATATTCTTGTTTTGCCGGGTACACGAATTTTAGTAAGTTATTTTTTCAAAGTTTGTAACGTCCTCGATGTCTTTTATAAAACTAGATGAATTTTTTTCGAGACCCACAACACCCTACAGTTCTGTGTTCTTATTCGTAATTCATGAATTTGAAACCCGAAATCCAACCCAACCAGAACATATACACTACAGAATGGAGTTAATCAAAATGTCTTCTGAAATAAATGACTTATGGATTCAGTGGTCAAAAAAAATTTTCGTTTTACAGTGGCAATTTTCATTATTTTGGAAAATTATTATAATCATAAAAAGTTATGAAAATACCAGGTTCTTTTCCCACTAATATCTCAGTTTTTTCAAAAAGTGGAGTTAGTCGATGTGTGCACTGAGCGGCTCATAATGTGGTAGTATGCACATAGAGGCATAAATGTGACGGTAAATAGATAAGAGTGTCGGTGCATAACAATATATCATTTGCCAAAATCTACAAATTTTGGCACACTAAGACCACTACATCTTCGACATCATCCAATTGACCTTTCGTTATTGAAGAAATACGACCTTGCTGTAAGATGTGTAACCTAAAATTGGCCCATGTCCGATTCCTCAAGTTCTTCCACCGATCCTCATCCGTCCCTGTCGCTTTTTACAAAAAGACACGGCCCGTAGACTCCAGACTCGGTCGCTCGCTCGTACTAGCTAGCTAGCTGGCTATCCGATACCACCACCAACACCACCAACACTAGTATTATATATGTAGTATCCTCGACAGTACACCGACACCACCAACACGTTCACGGCGGCGGGCGGCGGCGGCAGGCGGGAGGCCTTATCTGCTTTTCGAGTCAGGCGGCCTTATCAGCACAGTCCATACATTATATTATAATATAATACATTTCTGTGTGCAGATATCAAAAAGTATAGAAAGATGGTCGACGCTGTTGTGTTGCCTGTATATACATATATACATATACATACAGAGGATAGGAAAAAGTTAAATTTACCAAGTACACCAAAAATTTGCAATACGTGGTATGCGAATTTGTTGCTGATAGTGGTCTCAAAAATTTGAAACTTTTTTTTAAAAAATCCTCAAATTTTTAGTTCACGCTCAACCTGGATGTTGGTTATAATGAACTCTTTCGCTACACAGGTCGTCCAACGAATGTCGCCTAAAAGCGACATAAATATTATTCTTATTTACTCTTTTTTTTCAGCAATAATTTCTGATAAATTTTTTTTTATCAATTTCTGAATGTTATCCACTACGTATGGATGCCCTATTAAAAAAATTGAACTGTTTATCATCAATTTTAATTATTAACTAGTGGTGTGCATGGTATCGTGTCTTAAGGCAAATTGCTAGAACTTTCCGTACCGTAATTAAAAATCTTGGTACGGAACCCAAAAATAAGCACACAAAATGCGTACGCATTATGAAAATCTCTATAATTTGATCTGATTTGAATCTGATAATTTGATGTGCATAAGTCCAATAAACATTTTTGACCGCCAAATGACATTTTTTTATTATTGAGAGTCCATTATTTATTATAGAGAGTCCATAACCGCTGGACCTGCCTTCATTAAAATTTGATCAGTTTTTTATCTTGTCAATACAAGTAAAATGTTTTTTGATTTATTAAAATCGTACGCCCCGTTCTCTTAAAAAATGAGATACCGTTTTTGGCACCTTTTGCCTCATATCTTCGGAACGGCTAGACCTGCTTTCGCCAAAAACTAATCAGCACGTCTCTTTATCAATAGGAATCGATTGCTTTTTCAATCATTCAAATGGGTTGAGCGGTACTTCCGAAAATGTCGACGAAAAATTGTATCCACACATATACACACACATCCACTTTTTCTAAGGTTATCCAAAATGTTCAGAAACCTTCAAAACGTCAAGAAATACAAAACTTTTCAATTTCGATTTTTGGACAGTTACAATAACTTACCTTACGGGAAGTTAAACCATTTTTTGACTATGAACTACGTATTTTTCTGAAAACACTGATATTTTTTGAAAACTTGGAATTTTTTTGAGAACTAATTTTTTTTGAATTTTTGTTTTAAAACTTCTAAAATTTTGAAACTTCTCTTAAGTGATACTAATTCACGTCGGCTGATTTATACAGTCGAAAATATCTGATTTTCGACCGCCAAATGCCAATTTTTTTCAATTTTTTTTCTGGATCTCAAACTGCTGGACTTGCATTTGCAAAAAATTAATAAATTCTTCAATACGATAAATGGAATGTTTTTTGAATAATTCAAATCGAATGAACCATTCTCTCAAAAACTGCACTCTTCGTATCTCTGAAACGACTGGACCTGCCTTTGCTAAATACTAATCAGCACGGAAACGTGGACGAAAAAATGTATCTACACATACATACACATACATACACACATATACACACATATACATTTTTTATAAGGAATGCCAAAATGTTCAGAAACCTTCAAAACGTGAAGATATGCAAAAATTGGCAATTTCGATTTTTGGACGATTACAATAATTTACCCACGTGATGTTAACTGGGTTGCCTTTACAAAAAATACTTGATTAGAAAATATTCAACAAAAGCAGCTTATAAAACATATAGTTCTGAATGCTTTTCAAATTCTTTTCTTTTGATCTTTATTTCTTTGGGGTGCAAAATTTTGGGTTTTGATAAAGTTGTAGGTGTAGCAGGTGAGGGATTTTTAACCCCCTCTTCCCCTTGGTAATATTCAAAATTACCCCCCTCCCCCATCACGTGTATTTTTAGTTTCGAGAAAATATTATACTCGTTGACAAAATATTGACCCCATGCTTATTCCTAATATGATCTCTTAAAATTAGCAAGTTGGATTTTATAGCCAAAATTTCGGGAAGTAAAAAAATATTTTTCCAAATGTCGTTTCAATTACATATGTCCATTTCTTATTATTACGTCAAGATTAGTAAATTTTATTCATTTGTATATATCTGTATGTGTTATCTGAACAAATGCCGACTTATTATCTTTTAAAACTGAAGAGGTTTTTTATACTAATGCATAAAATGTATGTATATCACAGTTTGAGAAGTCCCACGTCTAGACACCACTCAGGAATTGGAGATTAAATCAAATATTCAATGATATATATAAAAATATATACATATACACTTTTATATATACAAGTATATATTTATACATCTAATTAATAATACATATTAATTAATAGAGTTTTAAACGCGCGCGAACAAATTATTTAACAAATCAAATCCATCATTATTTTTTGCTGAAAATATTTTACAGAAAAAAGTAATACATTTTATTAAATTTATTATATGCTTGTAAAAAATATTTAAAAATTATTGCATTGTTTAATTTATAATATTTTAAAAATTCTAATTAATTAAATTTAATTCATTTTAACACAGCAAATTTATTTTAATAAGCAAAGTACGTTTTTTAATTTTGTTTAAAAGTTTTGGGCGAAATAACATTTTGTTAATAGTTATTAATAACACCTTGAAAATAAATATAGTTTATTTCTATTAATTTTAAATTTAATAAAATTAAGTTCTAAATCTGCAAAATTTATTTTAACAAAATAAATCAGTAACATAAAATAAAATAGTAACGATATAAGAAGTTAGAGATATAAAAATTAAAGCTGGTGTTTACTTTTTAATTTTGAAGCATATAGAGTTGTTGTAGGGCTTTAAAGTGTTAGACAATATTTTTGTTTATTTAATTTTAAGCAAATTTGCCAAATATTTCATTTAAATCAGACAAATCCTTTAAAATTGAGTTTGTCGATGATAAGAGCATTTTAATGTGTTTTCGTTTAAGTTTTGAAGTACACAGAGTTGTTGTAGGGCTTTAAAGTGTTAGAAAACATTATTAAAAATTTAATTTTGCACGAATTTGCCAAATATTTCATTTACATGAGACAAACTCTTCAAAATTTACAAGGGATTAATAAATGTATGCACAAAATGAGTTTGTCGATGAAAATAGCACTTTAACGTGTTTTCGTTTAAGTTTTGAAGTACACCGAGTTGTTGTAGGGCTTTATAGTGTTAGAAAAGATTATTCGAATTACAATATT